AAGCAGCGCCCATCGCTCAGATGATCTGCAAGTCCGACGGCGGAAGGAACGTATGCTACGCCATCTGCAGGCTGGCAGCATTGTGGTGCGTTTCATTCTGTTTACTCGCTCGCATCTCATCAAAAGTTATTATTCAAGGCGGTCGCCAGCGTACATGCAAACCTGCCTCCAAGCCATTCGTATCCCCTGCCCAACTGCGATAACGGCCGACCCGACGGATATAACCATACCGCACATTGCTTCTGCAACTTCGAGTCAAGCCATGCCACGTCAGATGTCCCTTACGTGTATGCTCGCTATTCAAATCTGAAGTCCATACGTTTCTTCCTCCCCACCGACGAGGAAGTCTACGGAGTCCTGCAAGTTAAGTCCTACATTAACCATCTTGAATTGACTGTTGTCCAACGTAGCAAATCTCCGGACGTCCTGGAATGAGGATGTGCCCCAGCAAGACGACGCTACCTGGCGACAACGATTGATGACAACGGTGGAGCCTCCAACCCCAACCACAACTTGCACAAGGATGGTCCGGACGACGCCGAGGGTGAGCGACCCCCATCATGGCGACGACGCCGAGGAGCTGACCATGAACATAGACTTGATGCCTGCGAGCACGGTGAGGACGATCACTAAGAGGATGCCGAGCACGATTTTGGCGTCCCTCAGCACAACGAGGACAACCGTGCTGGACTTGCTGGCATCATGGACTTCCACGCCTGACGCATGATCATCAAACACTTCGGGACTAACGCCCTCACTCGCCGAAAACCCACACCATGATCCCTGGCACCGACGACTGCGTAGGGTTGAGTATGTACTTCCTCAGAGATGCTGCTGTCGTTGTATCTGTATCTGCTAGATAGTTCACATAAGTATTATAGCTGTATTGTGCACCGATGTATCTGGTTTTACATGATAATCTAAATTTATTTTATCTCTCATCTGAATTTGAAGAGAATTACCTGCTCTAGTGCTGTTTTCTGGAGAATTGAAGCTAACCTGGATCTGCAGTGCAGTTGACCGGGGGAAAATGCTATAAGATTGAGTTTCCTTAAAGTGAATCCGAGTGCATTTAAGCATCTCCAAGTCATGCCAGAGCCAACCTCAGAGTGACTTGAGTTAGGCTGCAGGGGGGAACCTTTCTCAGAGTCAGCCCGATGACCTGCATGATTTCTTGTCTCCTGGTCAGCCATGGTTAGCCAGGGTACACCACAGTTATCCTGAGTCCCATACACCTTTTCCTGATGATTCCCGGTAGCTCCCATGGTAGTTATTCCAACTATGAGGAAGCGCTACGAGAATATGTCGCAGCTTGTGCCGACCGTCCTATTATACAGCTCACTGCGTCCAACTAGTTCCCTTTCATCCTGTAAATGAGAAACCAGACCAATATATTCTGCTCACTGTTTGCCCGGTCTGTGCGTGTGGACGTCAATAAGTACATTAATGCATGCCGCGCCTACATAATATCTGCATGATGTACAGCGTAGTACAGCCGCCCATAAGCCCTCTCCTTCTCCAAGGAACTGAAAAGCAGATGGCAGTTAAGATCTACGACAGACTCCACTGCGTATTGAAATCGTCCATTGCGTGCATGAATATAATCTAACAGGCTCCCTTCACCGATCACCTCCTCGACCTCCCTCTCAATAGACTGTGCCTTGTCCCACCACTTCCGCGGGCTCTCACCTGCTTCTATCAGTGCCTTAGAGCCGTCGTCCTGGTTGTTCAAATGCTGCATGGCGATTTGACAGAGTCCGTGGGCCCAGCCATACAGCGAGTTGTTGGTATGCGCCATCAATCTGGCCTCAAGCCGTAGATACTTGCGACGAAGGTTGCGGGTAGTGTTTGACTCGTCGACACTAGAATTTCCCAGCATCAGGTCAACATCGAACGTAGAATGTCTATGAACTCACGACGCCTTGTATTCTTCTGCTGTCTCGTACTTTCCTGCCCTTCCAGCCTTCATGCGCCCATCTACCCCATGGCTTTCCTTCTTGGCTTGATAACGCTGCCGGGCTTTCGCGTTGAGGCGTTTACGATTGCTAGAACGCATACGTCAGACAACCCTACCATATATATCGTTATCCTGTACATACTGATCCCAATAACGCACTTTTGTTTCTCTTCGCGCATATTCGCGGTCGTCTGAAGTGAGATAAACTCGACTCCGACCCATTGGTACATCGTGGAGCAGATGCACAAGTGAGAGGGAACGATCGCCGGTCCGAAGTGCAAAGTTGGTGGGTGTCAAGAGCAGAGTGTGTCGATCGCAAATGCAGTAAAGGCAACTACATTCCCGATCATACTTTCGCTAGACTTTTTATCAATAAGTCATGTCGTATTGCTTTTGACATCCTCTGAGTCTCAAAACCACTTTAAATAACTTTGCTAAGGTAATCTACATTATTATTTCCACGTCAAACGTCTCGGTTTCTGTACTTGGGTTCACTAGACACTTATGGGCATTCCTCCTCCAGTATGACTTTGCTCACTTTGGGCTAAGCCAACAATTGTTCTTAGATAGTTCTTAACCATATTCCTGAGCTGTCTATGCTGTATCAGTCCGCCTCTCTGTATAATGTCGCCCATCCTCTTCGCTCACTGCCGTTTTGGGCAAGCCCGGGGCTCGGACCGGTTACCCCGAGCTGTCACGTTGGATCAAATCCATATCAAGTCTATCTCCTCTCTTATGCTCGACTGGAGTGGTGCAGTGGTCGAGCATACCGTGGCGGTCCCATGGAGACCTGGGTTCGAATCCCAGTCGCCGGTCATTTTTTTGTCCCTAGCGCTTGCCTAGCCAGTTCGTACTGCCATTTTGGGAATCACGTCTTGTCCTGAACTATCATCTTGGTGACTGGATCATATTCCCGACGCGTCGCATTACGTTGCAGACCCTCACGAGCAATGTTCTGTCTCCCGCCAACACGAATCAACCCCGAACTGTTGGCATTGTCCGCGCCGCGCTGTACGTCCTTTCCCCTCTCGCCTTCCCCCCCCCATGGATCCGATAGGCCCGGAATAACTGGATTTCCTTAAATATCCTGTCAGCGAGAATAAATTTGGCCAGGTCGCTTCCCGTCCGCCCTCTCCGAGCTCGACTCAGTCACGCACGCAGCTCTCTCCCACCTCCCCTACCAAATACCCTGGCATGGTCTTTACAAGTCGTCTGAATCTCACCACCAAACCTCTCATATTAGCCCGGTCTCTCAGAAGAAAGCCCAGCTCCAAGTCAGCGTCGGCTTCTTTCGTCCCAAAGAAATGGAAACAGCAAACTTTGACATTCACTAAGTCATCCTCTAAGTCAGTGTTTCTGTGTCGCAAGTAAGTCCCTTCTCTGCCTTACGTGCGTGCACCCTCTTAGCCTTTACAGGCGCCTGGAGCAGCATGTTCGCGTGCGCCGTCCTATCCGCGCAGACTACGAGCTCGGAAATGGCGTTCAGGCCATTCGTACGTATTTTCTTTGATTGCATGGTTTCACGCATCCTGAGATGAGCATGTAGGTGGCCCGGTTGACGCCTTGGAGGCTAAGAGTGATCCTCGTTTCGTGAAGCCAGGTGAGACGCGGTTCATTCACGACGAGGTTGGACGCTTTCTAGAAGCATACGAGGTGTCGCACTTGGAAACCAAATTCAAAGCCATGGGCATCTACACCCACGATGATCTGGTTACAGTCGCCGTCGACATTCGTACCAATCAATCTCTTCGTCAGGAATTTCGTACGGGACTAGAGGCGACGGACGAGGTTTGGAGGCGCCTCAAGGCGGGACTTTACCGCTATGCTCGTCCCGCTAAGGCGCCGCCGGTTGAATAATTTCCCTTTGTTATCGGCTTGTGATTTTAGCCACTGCAGGGAATAGATTCGGAGTTGAAAAAATTGCGTTTGCAAATGGTACCCATGTGGCGCCAATTGGATTATTGGATTATCTCTTGGTCAGTTTAAAGCGGGGGTTCTGACGTGTTTTCAGGTGCAACCGACATGCCCCCCAGGTATTCTCGCCACTGCTTCAATCAGAACGAGAGAACGACTTTTGGTGTTCGTCGCGCGCAACGGTACGTGCTCTGTGTCTCATTCCGCCTGACAGCTTCTCACATGGGCGCAGGATTGTACAACGCGCCGTAGCGGAATTGCGCGGTGTCAGTACGCCCAATATGGAGGAGGTCTCAGCGAACGCAGATCTCACGGCGATGTTGAGGAGCTGCAAGGGAGTGGTTGCTGACTCGCTTAGAAGCTTGTCATGTTACATCCAAGGAGGAGCTGGCCCATGTAGGCTGGTTGTCGTACCATCGCAGATTTGCGGCAGTCTTTCGTCTGGCACTGGGTCTGTCGTTGTCGGGTGGGAATTGGCCTCGCGTCGTGCACCTCACACATACGTTCACCCAACCCCGCGAAGTCTATCAAACCAACGAAGGTGGGATCTTTGTTGCTTTCAGTCATTCATTTCGCTGACGGGGGTGTTTGGAGAATAGCTTATGACGCACACCAGACCGAGGTGGCGTTGATGAAGCAAGAGGCTGAGCGATTGCTTCTACGTTGTGCCGACATTTGCGAGGAGGCTTCCTACAACCGGTTGTCGCGCCCGGGGTGGGTGTCGTATGATACGGGATGTCAGTACTTTTGGCGGGCGTTGCGGGACCACAACGATCGAGAGCGCGCATTCGATCGAGCATTGGGCGTGGTGCGTAACGACACGGTGGAACAGGAACATGACCTGGGGGAAGTGGTTATCGGGGAGGTTGATAATAGTGTGATTCGCAGGGGCTTGGGCAGATACACTAGCGGCGAGGCGATTGAATGGTACTGGGCCAGAGAGGCTTCAATGTAATGTCGAATTGTAGTCGTCTTCTTATTCGGGGTGAAGAATTTTATGTCCTCTTTATCGTGTTCAAAGTGGAGGCAAGAATGTCCGGAGTCAAAACTTAAAAGTAACAGTTAACAAAATATTTAATAAGGATTGAACAAGAGTTCCCAACACAAAAAGATCCGGGTATAAGCACCATGCCTCCTGAGGGATTCGAACCCTCGCCTCCAAGAACAGATTTCTCGGCACTCCAACCAACTGAGCCAAGGAGGCATATATATTGTGTAGCATATAGCACCTCTAGCTGAGTGAATTCAGTCACGCCCGTTCAGGCTTTACCTCGCCGAACGTCTTTTTGAATTTGTTTCTTATCTCTCATGTAGAACGTTCACCCATTGCCGCCTGCCCGATACGGTCCGCCAGGTAACCTGTGCTCTCCCTTATGAATGACACCACAGAAGGAGAGACGTGCAAACGGAAGTGTTACGCCACCTCGGTAGGTTTCTGGGCATCATGCCGACTTGTTGACTGATCAGACTATAAGGACCAGCCCATGGAGGAATGGAGACCTTGGATTCCTGCTTTTCTGGAGGAGACGCTTCGACGACACGGGCTGGGGAACGCCACACGGAACCCAACGTGCTCGTCGTGTGACATCCGCCTGAGTGCGGACAGGATTGGCATTCAGATTGGAGCACGAGCCGATGTGGGAGACGTCGGGGAATGCGAGGAGTTATTCCGCTGTCAAAGCTGCGGGGATTTCTTGGAATGTCGGACGTGCTGCCTGAAGAGACACGAACGGTCTCCAGTGCATGCCATTCAGGTACTTTTTCAGATCTATTCTTAACTAACGATGGACTCAAACAGTGCTCTTAGGTCTGGCGCGAGGCAACATGGCAGACAATTTCGCTACGGGAAATGGGACTGATTTACCAGCTCGGTCACCAAGGAGCTCGGTGTCCTGTCCCCGTCCCCACGCCTCACATCATGACCGTCATGCACGTCAACGGAATCCACCAGGTCGTTATGAGGTATTGTGACTGTACTAGTACTCTTTCGGACGGGGAACATCGGCGGCAGCAGTTATTGCGGAGTGGACTCTATCCGGTGACTACACGATATCCGGCGACGTGTGTGACGCTTGAGGTTTTCAACACGTACCGGCGTCTTTAGACAGAGTCTGCATTGTAATGTCAAATCATAGTATTTTCGGTCCTTCCTTCGAAATGAAGGCAACAGCACAATAGTTGACATGAAGAGGAATTGAACGGGCGACCTTCACAAAAATTGAGACGCCCAAGTGTTCACGCGTTCACGCTTTTTACCTCGGCCGAACATCTTTCTAATTTGTCTCTGATGTAGAAGGTTCACCCATCCTCTCCCGATAGGGACCGCCAGGCAACCATGAACCTGGAGGCCCGGGGGTTAGCCTGCTCTCCCTTATGCAGCCAGCGCGGAATCCAGGAGGTCGTCCTCGACTCAACCCCGTTTTTACGAAAAAACCCAAGCCACCTACGGTCCATGATCATTCAATTCACATCGACAACGCCGGCGAGGTGTCCTCTCAGGCTGTGCCAAACGTGGATCACCGTGACGGCAGGCGGCCATCGGATTTGCAGGACGACTACGCGGAGGCTGATTTTGAGCCGTTGCGCCCTCCAGAGCCCATCTATGGTCAGGAGGATGGGGATGATGATGATGTTGAGTCGGGCGACGAGGATGAAGAAGATGAGGGTGGCAATAATGACACCACAGAAGGAGAGACGCGCAAACGGAAGCGTTACGCCAGCTCGGTAGGTTTCTGGGCATCATGCCGACTTGTTGACTGATCAGACTATAAGGACCAGCCCATGGAGGAATGGAAACCTTGGATTCCTGCTTTTCTGGAGGAGACGCTTCGACGACACGGGCTGGGGAACGCCACACGGAACCCAACGTGCTCGTCGTGTGACATCCGCCTGAGTGCGGACAGGATTGGCATTCAGATTGGAGCACGAGCCGATGTGGGAGACGTCGGGGAATGCGAGGAGTTATTCCGCTGTCAAAGCTGTGGGGATTTCTTGGAATGTCGGACGTGCTGCCTGAAGAGACACGAACGGGCTCCAGTGCATGCCATTCAGGTAGTTTTTCAGATATATCCTTAAACGATGCTGTACTCAAACAGTGCTCTTAGGTCTGGCGCGAGGCAACATGGCAGACAATTTCGCTACGGGAAATGGGACTGATTTACCAGCTCGGTCACCAAGGAGCTCGGTGTCGCGTCCCGGACATCACGCCTCACATCATGACCGTCATGCACGTCAACGGAGTCCACCAGGTCGATATGAGGTATTGTGGTTGTAGTGTGTCGGACGGCGAACACCGGTGGCAGCAGTTATTGCGGAGTGGACTCTATCCCGCCACAACACGATATCCGGCGACATGTGCGACGATTGAGGTTTTAAACCTGTACCGGCGTCTGAAGACAATTGCGACGGTCAACGTGCGGGATTTCGTGACCGTCTTGGAAGATGAGACAGATCCGTACGGTACATCTTGGACTCCAGACCGGTACAAGGCATTCATGCGCATAGCGCGACAATGGGGATTTCTCCAGAGAGTTCGACGTTCTGGTGTTGCCCATGAGGATGGGGGACTGGCGGAGGCGGAGGATGGCGCGGTTAGAGTGGAGTGTTGGGCTTGTCCCCGCGTAGGAGTGAACTTGCCTGAGGATTGGGAGAGTGTGCTGTCGGAATTTCAGTACGTGTGATGACTTTTTCAGTGGCGTAGACTAACATTATTGAAGATATCTCTATCGGCGCATAGTTTCACAGGATGCGAACTTCCGGATGCGCTGCAAGATGCGCCCCTCGCCATATGTTGATCTGCCGCTGTACGATGGACTGGGCGTGCAAATGCCTACCGAACTTTACCATGAGTGGTTGCGAAAGTATGTCACAGAGGAGGAGGTAAGTCGCCGAGGCTTTACGTTTTGTACGCATACTAATCGATGATCATCAGGTATCGTCTTGTGTGGCGTTCGCAGCACTAATGCAGAAGGATACGCGCTTTTCAGTTGGACTTCGCTGGGCTGGGGTGATTGGCGTTATTTGCGCTCGACACGAGCTAATGTTGGGGCTGGGTGATTTAGAAAAGGGCGAAAGGTAATTGTACGACAAGTTTTCGCGGGCAGACACTAATCATTTCTGACCAGATATAAAAACACGGATTTTGTACTGTACTGGGTCTTGTCCAAGATGGGCCTAAAGGAGGTTACAGTTACATACGACATCGCGTGCCAATACCGCAAGAACTTCAAACAGAGGATTGAGGCATTACCTGATGTCTTGAAGAGCTTGGACATTCCCGAGATTCAGTGGGGCTTACCGATTTGGCATGGCGGGGCACATGAGATCTCGTGCGAGACGGCGGAGTCGCTGAAGTATAAGGTCGGGGTGGGGAAGACCGATGGTGAAGGGATCGAACGAGTGTGGGCCGTGTTCAACCCAATGTCATATATGACCCGAGAAGAGCAGCCTGGCGCCCGTCACGATGACATCGAGGACAAAGTGGATAAGCATAACTTTGGGAAGAATATACACCTGGGTAGGTGTCGTCGTTATCTTTTCGAACGGGACTGACATTGGTTGATTTAGGGCGGACTTTATTGAAACGTCTTCGAATCGCACTTCAGGAGAAAGAGGTGCAATGCAAAGGGTTTGAGGTGGTTGATGGAGCACTAGATGAGGAGGTACGCAGCGACTGGATGGGCTTGGTCGTCCAGTGGTTGAAGGATCCGAGCAAACCGAACCCATATGCGCCGTCGGAACAAGGTGACTTCGATTTTCGGAAACGGGTTTTTGTGGACTTACGCGTGGTATTCTAGTTGCCTTTTCAGAGTCGAAAGCAAAGGCAGACCTCCGCGAACAAGAGCTGAAGGAAGAAGCGGAGGATGAGGAAGAGTTTGACGCGTCGGCCGAGTCTGATGCAGAGCCGTCAAGACATGGGGCTCACGGAACAAGGTCGAAGAAGAAGACAAAAAAGAAGACGAAGAAAGGCGGTAGCGCAGGAATGCGCATCACGGTGTCGTCCTTTCTGATAATGGGGTTGCAACTGGAAGATGCCTTGTGCGTATCCGATTTTATCTTCAGTGCCTAGTCTTGACGATTAAACAGTACGAGGCTGCGTAACGAACGAGCGCGGAAGGAGAATCTGACGACGGACCAGCAGACCAAGGTTCAGGAGCGACGGCGTACGCAGATGGCAAAATTGAAGGTTTTTCGGAGATGGCAGGAGGTCTATATGCCACGGGTGACGAAAATCGTCGAGAAGGAGGAGGTCGAGCGCCGAGGCAAGTCCGCAGCGGTTCCTCCCGTGGAAGACGCCAGGCTGTACTTGCCTTCAGAGTGTGCGAAGTCGCCGGAATTAGACCGCAAGGTGCGGTGTTCGAAGAAACTCTTGGAGAAGGAGACGGCTTTGCGGCGTGGGCAATGCTCAGATGCGCTGAGACGAATTCGTGCACGCTTGCTAGCGAAGCGCTATCTGGTGTATTTTCGGAACGAGCATGTCAGGGGTCAGAGGGAGGGCGGGAGAGCTGCGACGCTCATTAGTACGATGGCGACGAAGCTGAACGAGTCCGTGGCCAAATACCGTCATTCCCGAGACCGTCTGGTTGCGCTAGTTGGGGAGGAGGCGTGTGGTCCGTTGCGAGTGTTGGAGGATGAAGATGTGAAGGTGTATCAAACAGGAGAGTCGGATGAGGAGGCCGTGAGGAAGCTGAGTCGTCTGGAGGCACGGAACAGTAGGATCACCAGCGACTCAATGTCCGCCCGATTAAAGAAGACGAAGCGGAGAGATGTGAGCGGAGAGACGCGAGCAGTGATGTCATGGATTTGGACAGCTGAGGGTGGTCCGGATGCCAACGAGGATGGCTATTTGCATGAATGTGAGTTTTCTTTATTTTGCGCCACACTTCGTTGACTGAGGTCTGAAGGCGTGCGCATTGAATGGGCGAAAGCACTGGCCAGGAAGACACGATGGACGGAGGAGGTGGAACTTTTGAAGGAAGAAATGCGCCGAGTTCTGCGCTCCTTGCGCTATGAAGAGCGTATCTGGATGCGCCGCGCGGAGAAAGATTATCAGGGGTTGCGTCTGGAGGAGATCGCAGGGCGGCAGGCATACGCACGCCGTCAGGCAGCGGATCGGCGATGTATTCGGGAGTCATTCGAGATTTTATGGGGTATGACGAGGCCAGCGCGGGGACAGAAGGCGGGCCCGAAGGATCGCGAAGCCCA